CCCCAAAACCCCAAAACCCCAAAACCCCAAAACCCCAAAACCCCGAAATCGGGCATCAAAATTGAAGAATTTATAGACCATAAGATATATTATAAATTTCAAATTATCACTTAGTTAAGTATAAATTACGCAATTGGTTTTGAGGCTGACTCAAGACTATTCACGAGCATTAGCGGTCTAGTGCTGGAGAAAGATTCAGCCATGTGAAGCTTCTCATGGATTTAGTCAAAACTTCTGAGAAAGTCTGGGAGAAAGGATTGATCCTTTCCAGGACAATTTTCATCAGAAAGATAGCAGAGATGATCCAAGTCCTCTGAATTTTGGTGAATTTGATAGTCATATCATTCCTCTTCTTTACGAGAAAAGTCACAACGACTGATGGTTTCAAAGTCTTCAAAGAGACTCTGAGAGCTCTTGTGAAATGGCCTAAATGGATAAGACGATTCCTCTTGTGTATATTGAGACAGATCTTTGTCATTTATACAGTTTCTATGATTTTCTGAAATTTCCTTTGACTTTGCAACACATAAAATCTTGGTTATTTTTGAGGCTTTTGAAGCAGCTTTTTCAGCTTCCTGGAGAATTAAGGAAACATCATTTAGTGAAGGACAAATACTTCAGTTGTTGTACCAATCGACTAAATCAGAGACATAGGCTTTAAGATCTGCTGCTAAAAACACTTCTCTTTTTAATTCCATTGAGATTTCTCTTATCATAGACTGACTCGTAGACTTCTTGCTCTTCTTCCTCAGCTGTAACTTCTTATCATATCCCCATTTATACACCTGATCTGTACTCAAATCCAGCATCTTTTTGCATATCTGGACTGTTTTACTGCTCCAATCAGGGTCTCCTAGGAACATTTCTTCTAAAAATTTAATTTCACTGGGCGTTTTCTTCCTCACTCACTTAACCTCTGCAGTACAGTCCTTGTCAAATTTCCAACTTTTACAGGTCTCCAAAATGGTATCAATCTGGGTCACAATCTGAGGTCTTTCTAGGGCCTTAATCTTCCTTCTGCATCCAGTTTTGGCCTCTTCAGAGTGAACAATCTTCCTAAATGTATGTGATCTTTTCATAATTCCTTGTTTATTTTACCTTAATAGTTAATTAATTACATAGCATTGTTCAACCTTTTATAGTCAGTTAGGGGTTTTGGGGTTTTGGGGTTTTGGGGTTTTGGGGTTTTGGGGTTTTGGGG